TTAGGAAACAAAACTTCCAGAACACGGCCACACAGCCCGGAAGACCCACACCAGCCATAAGTACCATTGTTTTCCAAAGCTCTGATCTCTTGTGGAATAATGATTCTGCATCCAATGAACAGATGAGGCTAATAAACAGAAATTATTAGATACTATATCATAGGACCTATCCTATAAGACAGATGACAAGTTTAAAAAGATTACAGTATTTATACATTTAAAGGCAAGCATGACATAACACATCTATTTTATTGGCGTTACACTGTTGAACACACATACATTCCCTAAATAGTCATTAAAAAGCTGAATTGTAATTTCCCATTTTGAAGTCCCCTTGAAGTGCATACTAAATTCATGGTTGTTTCCTTGTATGTGACTTGCTTGCCTGGAGGTTATGACGGAGGGCCTTTATTTGCTACAATTATTTCTACTAGTCATTCCATGAAAGATGAACCCATGCTGGGGGATGGGGTGGAGGTCTGCTACCCTATAGTATACTTTTTGATTTACAGAATGTCACATAATTATATTTTATTACCCTGCTCTTTAGTAATTACTTGAATCCAATAAGCATGGTCGCCAATTTTAGTTATGATATCATCAAAAATATTGAAAATTACTTCTTTTCTGCCATAGATCTTATTAAGGTGTTGAAATCATAGGCCACTGCCTCAGATCATTAATGGAATGTAAGTTGGCAAACAATATTAGACTTACTCTAAGTAAAAAGTACTAATGGTTCATAGAATCATAGAATCAATGTAAGGATAGGAAGGAAATTGGGAAATCATCCTATCCAAACCCAGCCCAGTAAAGAAATCCACCACTATAGTATCCCTAAAAGATGGCCACCCAACATCTCTTTAAATACTTCCTGAGAAAGAGTCCACTGCTCCTGAAGCAGTATGTTCTATTGCTGAACAGCAATTAACTTGAGAAAATGTTCCTGATGTCCAACTAAAATCTGTTTCCTTGTCATTTAAACCCAAAATGTCTTGTCCTGTCTCCTGGAACAACTCTTAGTCCCATCTTCCACATGACAGTTATCATATCTCTCCACAACCATCTCCTCTCAGGTCAAACATACCGTATCCAGTGCTTCCTACTCATTTTAAAAAATCAGGAGTCGTCTGGTAGCACCTTTTTAACTAACACTTTTTACTAGCACCCTTAACTAACAGCCTTTCATGAGCTAATTCCTCCTGAATCTTGATACAGTTTTCTAAGATGTTCCTATTCCCCATTATTTCCATATTATTTGCATATTGGATAATCATATTTTCTAACCCTTTATCAAAGTCATTTATATATGTATTGAACAAGAGAGGGCCCAAAATGGAGCCCTGTGGTATGCCACTCAACACTTTCCACACACTTGACACAGAACCATTAACATACACTCACTGGATAAAATTGTTTATCTACCATCTAATGATAGTATGGTTCAGCCAACATATTGTTATCTTCTCTTCTAGAATCTCATAGGAGACTTTGCTGAATGTTTTGCTGAAGTTAAGACTCACTATGTCCAATGCATTCCCACAATCAATTAAACTGATCACTCTATCAAAAAAGGAGATCAGTTTGGTTTGGCATGAAATATATTTGATAAATCTATGCTGGTTCCTGCAAACAATGCATTTTTCCCTAAATGCTCACATGCCAAATGTTTATTAACCGGTTCCAAAGTTTTGCCTGGTATCAACATCAAGCTGAGTGGTTTGTAACTACTCAGATTCACTTTTTCCCCTTTTTGAAGAAAGGAACAACATTTGCTCTTCTCCAATCCTGTGGTACTATGTCTGTTCTCCCTGATTTATCAAGGGTCATAGAAAGAGACTCTGAGATGACATCTGCAAGTTCCTTCAAGACTCTCAGATGTAACTGACCTGATCCCGGAGACTTAAACTTGTCCATAGTAGCCAGGTGTTCCCTTACCATCTCTTCACTTACTTTGGATCACCACTCCCTCCTTTGTCAATTGTTCTGCTTAGGTCCATTTGAATACAGTTTTGTTCTGGGGAAGCATAGTAATCCTAACCTCTTGCTATCCTACCATTTTTCTAGGTCTGAGCCTACTGTGGACAGTTAAGATGAAAACTTTATTTTGATGGAGGTGAGCTCCCCCAAAGAATGAGGTTCACAGTCTTATGAATTAGCTGGATCCATCACTTTGCTGCTTCATATCTGCTTGGTCAAGACTGCTTTTTTTCCACTAGGGTGACTCACAAGATGTACTTTTTTGAGGGGCGGGGAAGGCTGGTCAACAGTTATTTATACTCTAACAACATTGAGGCAAATATCAATGTAATCATACCACAACAAAGAATCAGAAAAGACTGTGTACATTTCAGCAAAAGTTGTGGTATTGTGCTGCGGAATAATTGCATCAGTCCTGTTCACCAAATTCATTATTTTCCATGGTTACATTTTTGTAGGTCAACTATGCCATTATAGAATTGTATTTACACTACATTAATAGTTAATTTACTGAAAGTACAGGCAAATGTTAATCATTATTTACTTAAGATTCCAAACACACTTCACCCTGCCACTGTTTCCACTCCCAAATCTCACAAAAACTAATCCACTATTGTTTTCACTCTGTCCTTCTCTAAACCCTAAGAAAAAGGAGGAAGAACCTAACTGAATCACTGACCTGCCCCCAGATCCAGCAGCCACTGAAGTAACAAAAATATCTTCCTTCACACACCACACAAAAGGGAAATAAAACAGTGCTTAAACATATACCCTTCAATTCACATTCTTTTTTTACGTGCATTTTTCCAGGTCCTATGAATCAATAAATATCCAAGGATTTCCTATGGAGGTGAACTACAAAGCCACTGAGCTACCTTTCCTATTGAAAGAACTCCTAGCTCAGCTGATACCCAGGGCCAGGGAGCCATTGTGAGGCAAATGTTCCCACAAATGGGGCAATATACTTCCCACAAGCCCCAGTATTTCAAAGAAAATACTAATTTCACTGTACTTTCAAACATACTATAGCTGAAATAGAAATAAATGGGCTTAGTTCTTTATACAGCCAATATCATGGGACCATAGAAGTCTGGAGCTGATTTCAAACTGGCACAGAGTTCCTGTATAGAAGAGCCACAAGTTACAAAGTTTAAAGAATGAACAAGGTTTGAACTATGCCAAACACCTTAAATTTGCTATTAAATTCAGGCAGACATTGGCACAAACTATTTGTCTTCCCCAATGTTAAATCTAAGGAACCTCTTTCTCACACAGACCAAGAAAGAGGATGAAATCTTTAATATGTACATTCACTTACCTTTGAAATGTTTATGTCCCTTGAATCATTCTTTACAATCAGATTTTGACTCAAACATTTGCAGGAAGACCAGGGTCAAAAACAAAACGGTGACTTCACAGCCATGTTCCTTAGGAAGGAAATATGATCTGCCTTGGTCAGGAAAGGGAAATTGTTTGGAGGTCTAGACAGACCTCTTCCCTGCCCAAACTCTCCTCCTCCAGAGTGTTTTCCTTTATTGCTACAGAGAGGGAAAAAGGAGGAGAAAGGAAATAAGACAACACTTTCCAATGCTACGTGTCATCTGTACACAGTATCATTTGATGCTACTGCAATTCAGATATTGAACAGCACGAAAATGGGAAATGGGATGCAAGCCAGAAGGTTTAAGGAATTATTTCAGGATAATGGAACATATTATATACAAACTTTTATGAAATCAATTCACAAGAAGGCATAAACAAAAAAAAAAGAAAGGAAGCAAAACAGGAAATGGCCAGTCTGCAGCAGAGCTCACATAATAGAAATTTGTTTGTACTTACAACAAATAAAACAAAGCTAGAATTGGCTTTCTGGAACTGTGCTGGCCATGGAGAACAAATGGATAGTCAATCTGGCAGTAATGAATCCTGTTAATGCACTGGAGATAATTGATAAGGAGAATCATACTTGAAATTTATTCAAGCAAGCATGGGAAACTAGGGTCCTACAAATCCATTTAGGTTTCAATGCAAATAATTTTACATTTAGAGATATTCATCTCTATTAAAATCAGGCACATAGCATAATTATCTTTACAGGTTCAGGTGCATAACTTTATTTTGTAAATAATGTTAACAAACAGCACTGGAATTGCCCAACTCCATTCATCAGTATTAATCAATAGCTGAGTAAATAGAAATTATATACATTTGCTGGGTTCACATATCATCATATTAAATCATGATTTGCCAATGATGGTTTACTACACAATCGACAACTGAGTTTATGCAATGTGCTATGCCCAAAACAACAAATTACCCTGTACCCTCATTTCTAACACCCCTCTCCCACATATTCAACTGGACCTTCAATAGAACAATTTTATCAAATGCAGAAAGTAAATGAGGCCACAGAAACATTTAAATGCAATCAGACAAGCACTGTATACCTTTCTATAGGGAAATTATTTCCAAGAAGGAAATCTATAGTCTGCAGAAAAACTTATCCCCCAGACTCCTGTACAGTTGAACTGAAACAAAGCAAAGGAGGATGCAGCCTATAATGAGTTTTGTTTACCTTTACCCATTTGAAATAAGTATTTATTCATTTATTAGACTTATATCCCACCTTTCCTTCAGGAGCTCAAGGGGGTACATATAGAACCCCTTTCTCCCATTTCCTCTACAACAAGAATCCTCTCAAGTAGGAGTGTAACTGGTCACAAATCACTCAGCAAACTTTGTTTCCTTGCAAAAACAACTTACAAGACGCTTTAATATAGCTACCAAAACTTTATAATATACCATTACTAGTAGTAACCTGGAAAGCATAATAAAAAGCAGAGACATCACCTTGCTGACAAAGATACGCATAATCAAAGCTATGGTTTTCCCAGTAGTAATGTATGGCTGTGAGACCTGGACCATAAGGAAGGCTGAGCGCCGAAGAATTGATCCCTTTGAACTGTGGTGCTGGAGAAGGTCTTACCCTTGGACTGCTAGGAGGTCAAACCAGGAGGTCAAACCATACTACTACTACTACTTATAATGTGTTGTTCCTTCTGAAGAGCAAGACATGTGCAGAACCTTACACAAAGGAAAAGTCTTTTGCCTGACCTGTTCTGCACTACTGGATTTTCAAAAGCTCTTCTTTCCTTTAGTCAGATCCAAGTAGAATCACATATCATCAGTTAAAAATCCCACAAGGGGGTCAAGTCCTTAATACTTTGCAGACATAGGTAGCTTCATATTCTTCAACAATTCCAACATTATTTTCTCAGCAGACAGAGCTGACAGCAAACACTTTTAGATGGTCTAACAGCCTGGAATTGTATGCATCCATGGCTGGATAAGTCAGCTCTCCTACATCCAGTCTTCCAACAAGACAGATGCAGGAGCTCCAAAAGCATTAACACATAAAAACAAGAGCCCAAGCCACACTACTTGCCTGTTTCAATTGGTGCCTCCATATTCACATATTGAACCAGGGACAGGGCCCATAAGGATTTGTTGGGAACTACACCAAGAAGGTCCTAAGGAGTGCTTACAGTATACCTATCCCTATTCTCTGGCATATTTCATGAATTCTTTTCCCAGACCTGTAACAGCAGCACCTCATGATCAACTTCGTGAAAACTGAAAAAATAAGCAACAGTGACTCTGTTTGATGAAATTCCCAAAAGCCTTAACATTCTCCTCAAAGAATCAATGACTTGGATAGGAATAAGTTGAGAATTAACATATTCAAATGTGAAAGAAAACAGAAGTGGCAGATTCTTCCATCCCAGCTGAAGTCTGAGTGTTCAGTCTAGATGTCAATCCAGGCACTGACTTGGTCATGTTTGTGTTTATGAACCACCACTACTTTTTAAGAGTTCTGCCTCTTTACCAACTCTATAGTATAGTAAAAAATATATAGTATGGATCACCTCATGCTAAGAATTACTGATTCACTGAATTTGGCCAGTGCTAATGCATAAGGATTTCATTTAGGCTTTTTTTAAATATAAGAACTTAACAAAAATAAAATGGGATGAAAATAATTTGAGTTGTTTATGAAATGAATGTGAGAGACAGCACAACTGAAATACTATGCTATTTCTAAGCCAAAACCCAAACGCAACAATAAAGAACAGGATAAGGGAAATCCAGAAAGCATTTTTCCCCATAGGTATCAGAAGCAGGAGGATGTCCATTTACACAACCATTTTCCTATACACGGAAAGACTGGAAATGGGGCAAGAAAGACTTCAACTATGTCACTATGTATTTTTTGCATATCAGACAGATGATCACAACTTTGATTTCCTTTGGCTACTGTTTTCTATGAGAATCTGGAATCTGTTTTCCATGAAAGAAGAAACAGTCCCAACCCACATCTCATATCCCTGCAAGCACACTTTTCTCTCAGAAGGAAGATGCTGAAATTCCCCTAAATAAATACAGTTAAAGGTTTTGAATTATTTTTTAAGACTTTATTTTTGTTTTATACAAAGCAATTTGCTGAGGCTGCAGTTATGAAGGAAGAAAGACTTCTCAACCTTTCATTGCTAATTCGGATTATCTTTGCTGGGAAAAAGATATACAGAAACATACATTTTCTGTAATGAAGATAAAAATCAGCACAAAATTGTTCAGCAGGAAAATAGTATGAGGGGAAAGGACAAAAAAATGCCACATCCCCTTTTCTCTTAGGTCTATAGAGATAGCATAAAGTCACAATCAGCTTGATGCAAAAAAGGAAAAGTACGGAAGATGCTTTGAATAGGAGACCACCAGGAAAATCCTGAGTGAGAAATCAAGAAACCTTAGAAGAAGGAAATGGCTAACCACTTCCATGTGGTTGCCAAGAAAACTCTATGGAGATATCCATGAAGTCACCAGGAGTCAAACTCACTCAAAAGAGATTTTAAAATTCACAGACAATTTCTAAAGTCATGAAACATTTCTGACCAGCTTAGTTACTGAGTAAATAATTGAATCCATGTTTAAGCCATTACCTGCCTAAATTCAAAGTATGGACTCAAGACTACTAGAAGGAAACTCATACTGTTGCTGATTACAAATCTTAAATTCCATGTCTACGTTATAAGAGGCTGCACTGCCTTCTGAGCACCTCTGACAACAATGTGGCTGATCTTTCTGTAGCACAGTACATGAAATAGTTGTTAGACAATATATTACGCAAGAACATTGCCCAAATATTAAAAATGTATTGGCTGCATTTAGCTAGTTATTATTCCAGAAACATTTAAACTCTTGCAAAGTCACATGAACCATTGTTTACTCATGGTCAGGAACTATACAAGGTAATAAATATCTTTATAGCTGTTTAAATGCTGAAACAGAGTGAAACATGGAAGAATTACAGACACAGCATCAATAAAGAGCACTCAGTCATATAAGTGTCCTTATTTTCCCTGACTAATAGTCATTATATCTTCTTTTAATAGTGCATAAATTTAAGATCATCAAATTCTGGAACATTTTTTTTAGTTCTGATTTGATTACAGAACATACGTAGCTTGTGTAAGCATAACTAGGTTTGCATGAGGTCAAGTAAGTGACTCAGCCATAGAGCTAAGAACAGTCTTGAGTACACTGAGAATTGTCCAGAAGATAAGAATTCCAAAACAAATTTTTAAAGAGAAGTGTATAACTGGAAATGTCTAAGTGTCTGACTCTGCTTAAAACTTGACCCTAAAAACAACTCACATAGCAACGAATGCTAGATTTTAAGAGACTCGTTTTGAGAAAAAAACATCTCATTGAACCAAATGCAGCAATTAGGCAATTATTCCATTCTACTGGTATGAATTTAGCATTGTTTTGCATTTCCATTATTTCAGGGAAGGAGAATCTTAATCTCCCCTTGCTTCTTTCCCAAGAACTTCAAGGTAAATTCAACTATGAAGTTCCACTATCTTTTTCAAAACAGTTGGGTTTCAAAATCAATAATGTGGTGTTCCAATGTATTTCAACAGTAGTATTATGAAAACTGGGATACAGTCCCACCCTACTCTTATTAATCCTAGCATTTCCTAGTTTAATACCCGTTTTATTTCTGATGCTCAGTCATAATCACAGCACACTGTTTTAAATATGCATGGTTGTCGTGCTTGGTTTCTCTTAGTTGTTTAGTATTTGTTAGTGTTTGTTGGCTGTTAAGTTGTATTAGAATCTTATTGGAAAACTACTTTTTAAAAATTTATATCATGCCTTGGTAGAGGGCATACAATAAATATTATTATGCATACTACAGTCCCACTCTGTTCAATAGGATTTTCTTCACAGGAAAACACATATAGAATTGCTACTTAAGCTTCCTGCAGATGTAAAAATGAAATGCAGCAATAGTAGATAGCTGTTGTCCTTCCCCAAGTCCTTCTGTCTGAGGTAGCTATCCCACTGTATCAATAATAGTCAAAATGCATGCCCTAACCTCAAAAAGAGGGGGGTTTTAAACAGTTTTTTTTAGCTGCCAAGGGCCACAGCAAACAAGATGGCAGCGTGTTATCATGCAGTAAGTGGGGCTGGATTT